TGGATGTTTCTCCATATATTATTATATATTACATGTTATTTAGCAAAGTTCGGTTAATTCGGTTTTTTCGGTTAACTGGATTTTTAATTCTAAAAACTGAAATCGAAATAACCAAACTTAATTAAACAAAAATCGAAATAGTCAAACTGATAAAACCAAAATCCAAATTCACAAATCAATTTTTTAGTTTTAAACAAATAATGCTTACCCCTAGCCCATAAGCCCCTTTTTCTCTTTCTCGTGGATTCTAATCAGGCTCAACCAAACATGAAGTATGAAGTATCAACGGTTCAACACCAATGACAATGATAGATACATGTTGAATGGATTGCTATCAACTCATCCCATTGAATTGGGATTTGCTCCTTATAGAGCACGCCTCACACCCACATCTCACTCTCTATTGGGAATATCTTCCTGAATAATAAATGCAAATACGAAAGACATTCCTGATGCGTGGTTAAAACATGCTGTGAGGTCGGTGTGAGGCGTGTTCTGGGGGAGCAGATTTGAACTCCACCTCATTCTTTTTTTATAGATATTCATCCCATTCCACCCATGCACTTATGAGATCGGATCTACTCCTTACACCTGGTGCCTCACATGCGCTTCACATGCACATCCTACCATGCATTGAGAACATTTCCCATACTTATTAGTTATTATTCACGTGAGATGTTCCCAATGCACAATGAATATGCATGTGAGGTGCCCATTTGTGAGGAACAGATCTCAGTTCTGCACTTATACTGTGATTTTCATCTTTAGAGAGATCAGATCTACTCATAGAATGTATCTCACTGACCTCACAACACATTCTAGTTATGCACTGGGAACATCTATGAATACATATTTTCAGGTACGGAGATGTTCAAAATGCACGACTAAATGTGTTGTGAGGGCGCTTTGTGAGGAGCATATCCGAACTCATCTTTAGAGTTATTTCATCTCACTAATGGCCCACAAAAGTTGTTTTCCACAGTGAGTCCACTAAACTATCTACTTGCTTCTGCACCCTACTAAATCGATAGTCGGTATTGGTCTTAGCACCATTTTTCCCCTTTGCCTCTGAGTTAAGCGAAGCTGGAAGACGAACTACTACCAGAGTCCAGATAGACGGAATGGCTTCAAATCTAGAAGCCAATCTACCTGCACAAAGAAGTCAAAACTCAGCGTTAGAAAAAAGATGCACAAAAGGTCTTTTTGCAAAAGTGCTAGCAGACAAACAAATGAACACCCATGGAGTTTTACATAAGATAAATTCTGGCCAAACAACAAATACGAAGTGGAATGGCTAGGTGATGAAGTTTTGTGGATTTATTTCAAAAAGGAGTCGGATATGGAAGCTTTTCTAAACCAAGAACCATGGCTCATAAAAGGCTATCCTCTGTTACTACGTCGATGGTTTCCTAGGGAAGGCACCAAGATGATTTAGTTTTCATAACTAGGCATCACAATCAGGACTCTTGGAGTTCCACCGGAAAAAAAGGACTTGGGAATGGGGTGCTAATCTAGTCAGTATAGCCAGGATCCCAGTGAGGGACTTCAAAGAAAAACTTGAAGAAGAAGAAGAAGATACAGAGCCAATGTAGGATAGGGTTTTCAGCATCAGAGTTAAGATCAAGGTTGGCGTGCCTCTAGTAAAAGGAAACTACAATGTTGATGAGGATAGATCTAGGAAGTGGTATTCGTTCCAATATGAGAAACTACCGACCTTATGTGTGAGGTGTGGAATAATAGGATATGAAGAAGACAACTGTGTAGTAGTCACAACCGAACAAGCTATGGATGAGCTAGTTGGAATATTGGGTGCTCAATCAATAAACAATGAGGGTAGAGAAGAATCCTACAATCTAAACCTCCGAGCAATTCTAGATAGAGATTTATTCAAGTTTATTAACGGCGGGCTGGTTTGGTATCTTAGCGTGCTGTTGACATTTATCACACTTTTGAACCAACTCTAGTGCATCAACCTTCATCGTGGGCCTTGTCATAGCACTTTCTGGGTGAGTGCCCTGCCCCCCGGTGTCCTCCACAGAGACCTTCATGGATCTCGCGTAGCACTTGGTTCGCTTCAATTCGGTACAAGCAGCACAGGTAGGGGAGTGTGAATGACCTCCGGTACAGTTGCTCGCCTATGATTACAAAGGGAACAGACTATCGCTCTACCCTCTGAGCTACATTACACTCTGTAAGTAGGGTCTCATGGCATAGATAATGAATGAGCAGATCCATCCAGCTCGGCTTTGCAACCAAAACTGGAGCGACCTCTTCTACCACCCTTTCTATACTAGGGCATGGCAGGTCTTTGATGTAGACCGTTATGCTCGTAATGTTTGTCGCACTGACCAACTTTGAGAGTGTATCGGCTTCAATGTTTTCTATCCTCGGTATTTGTTGGATATACCAAGAGTTGAAACTGGGCAGGATCTCATTGACCTTGGCCAGGTAAGCCAACATGGTGGGCTCCCAGGCCTCATACTCTCCATTCACCTAGTTTATAACTAATTGTGAGCGACTACACACCACGAGATGCTTTGCACTGACTTCCTTCGCCATTGGTAGCCCGACTATCAACGCCTCATACTCAGCTTCATTGTTTGAAGCTTGGAACACAAACCGGAGGGCGTACTCCAATTTAACCTTGCTAGGTCCATGGAGGACCAGTCCAGCCCCACTTCCATGTTGGTTGGACGAACCATCCACATGGAGGATCCAGGGCTCCTCATCCCAAGTCAGGGCGGGTGTTGCATTGGTTTATGCCTCCAAGGTGATTATGAGCTTAGAAACTTTAGGGGTAGGCATGCTAAACGTGCACTCGGCGACAAAATCAGCCAAGACCTGTGCCTTGATTGTTGGGTGCGGCTCAAACTAGATATTGTACTCATTGAGCTCGATTGCCCATTTTTTCAATCTACCCGAGACCTTAGGCTTTTGGAGGATTTGCCTAAGGGGTCGATTGGTCAAGACCACAATGGTGTGGGCTTGAAAATAAGGTTGCAATTTATGTGCTACCAGCACCAATGAGAAGGTCAGCTTCTCGATGTTTGGATACTTAGTCTCTGCAGCATGCAAAAATTTGTTTACGTAATAAACATGTCACTGTACCTTATCTATTTCTCGAATAAGGACTGAGATGACTACCTCATCACTCGTATAGAGGTAGAGTTTGAGCTCGTAGGAGTTCTAGCCTAGTTAACATAGGTGGCGAACTTAGGTACATCTTGAGCTTGTTGAACGCGAGCTAACACTCTTCAATCCACTCAAAGTCTTGGTTCTTCTTTACAACTTTGAAGAATGGAAGGCACCGCCTAGCCAACTTAGACATAAACCGGTTCAAGGCAACTATCCAACCGACTAGTCTTTGTACTTCCTTTATTGTTTTGGGTGGTCGCATATCTAAGACGGCCTAGATTTTGTTCGGGTTGGCTTCGATGCCATGTTGGTTCACTATGTACCCGAGGAACTTGCCCGACGTAACCCCGAGGACGCACTTATTCGGGTTGAGTTTCATGTAATACTTACTTAGAACGTTAAAAACACAGTTCAAGTAAAAAATTAAATAGTTTGAAAATTGGGTTTTTACTACCATATCATCAACATAAGCTTCAATTTTATTTCCGATCAAATCAACAAAAATTTTAATTACAAGATGTTGGAAGGTTGCCTAGTGTTTTTTAAACCAAAGGGCATAACTTTGTAAAAGTACAAGCCCATATCGGTTACAAAGGCGATTTTCTCTTTGTTGGCTGGATGCATTGGGATTTGGTTGTAGCTAGAGTATGCATCCATGAAACTCAACAGCTTGAACCCCAAGATCGTGTCTATTAAGCGATCAATTCTAGGGAGTGGGAAGTCGTCCTTTGGGCAGGCTCTATTGAGGTCGATGTAGTTGATGAACATGCGCCACTTGCCATTGGCCTTCTTGACGAGCACTAGGTATTGGACCTCTCTAATGAAGTCTACTGCGAGGAGCTTCCCTACCTCCTCATCTACTATCTTCCATTGTTATTGGGCGAGGTTCCTTTTCCTCTGCCGGACTAGTCTGACTAAAGGGTCAACATTTAACTTGTGAGTTATGACAATGGAGTCTATGTCGGGCATTTCTGTTGCCGACCAAGCAAAAATATCTAAATTTTTAGTTAAGAAACTTACCAAGTTAGAGTGCAACGATTTGACGAGGTGGGTTCCAATATGCACCGTCTTCTCAAGATCAGTATCTGAGACAAGTACTAGGACGGTGTCTTCCATGGGGCGAGCTCTTTCGTTTCCGTTCTCTAGGGGCGGCTCCAAGTCGATATCAACGGCTTGCTTTCCATTGTCTTTCAATATGACCACGTAGCACTTGCGAGACTCGAGCTAGTTGCCTCACATCACTCCTACTCCACAAGAGGTCAGAAATTTCATCGCCAGATGGTGGTCAACGCCACTGCTCGGAGGGTGCACAAGATAGGTCGGCCCAAAATGGCGTTATAGGGTGAGGGGGTTGTTACCACTAAAAAATTGTGATCAAACCGTACCGATTTTGGCGCTGAGCCCACCATTACTAGCACCCTCACCCGACCTAGGGGCCGGACCACCTCTCCACTAAATCCAATCAAGGGGACATCGGTCGACTACAGGTCCTTCCTTCTAAGCACCATCCATTCAAATACCTCCAGAAAGATGATGTCGGATGAGCTTCTAGAGTTGAGCAGAATTCGCTTTACCTCGAAGTCATTTATCATTAGTTTGACCACGAGGGCATCATCGTTTGGATACTGGATCCCACGAGCATCATCCTTGGTGAATTAAATTAGCTCCTCCACACGGGGGCACTTTGGCGAGTTCTCATCCTCATGCTCGAGCTCCCAAACTAAATTTTGCTTGTTGAGGTGATGCATGGTGCTCCTATGGACTCACTCGTGATCATGTTAATGACACCACAGATGGTTTCTAGGAGGTTGGTCCCTATCCTGACCCTTGATCAACTTCGGTACGTCTCTAGGTTGTCCGAAAGGTCAGCCTCTGTCTTCCCTCTTAATGAACTGCTTCAGGTACCCTCGGCGGATCAGCTTCTCCACCTCATCCTTGAGGTTAAGGCAGTTCTTTGTATCATGGCCAATGTCCCGACGAAAGTGGCAATACATGTTGGGATTCTTGTTAGCAGGGTCACCTCTCATCAGAGGTGGCCATCTGACATACTCGGCCATTTTTATCTGCATCAATATCTCCCCCCTTTTTGCATTCAACGCGGTGTAATTCCTATTATGGACCGGGGGGGTGTGAACGTCGTCCCGAAGACCGGCTGCTTTACGTCGGTTCCGAGGAGACCTACTGCGCCTTGGTGACTTGCTTTTTCGGCATTGCTTACTGCTCCCCGACTCTTCTTCTATCCTCTTCCGCTTGCCACTCATCTCTAGTTGGGATCTGAGTGCCTCTTCGACCTTCATAAACTTGGCCGCTTGGTTAAGGAACTCCTCCATCGAGGCCGGAGCGTTCAACTCAATCTCCCAGCGCATGTCTGGATGTCAGATGCCATTGACTGCTACGATGAGTTGGACAGTTGGGTCAATGTTAGGACTTTGTAACCGCTCTAGGTTGAATCTTTTGATGTAGTCCCAGAGCTTTTCATCTGGTCACTGGACAACATTTAGTAAACAAGTCACAAATTCTGGGAACCTCTTACTCGTTACGAAGTGCATGGTGAATAGGTAGGCGAACTAGTTCTAGCTTCTTATCGAGCCTGCCGACAATCCCGAGTACCACATTTGAACTGTGCCTCAGAAGGTGGTTGGAAAAGCGATGCAAAGCCTTGCGTCATTTGCCCCATGTAGCTGCATCAGGGCATGGAAACTATCGAGGTGGTTGATGGGGTCAATTGTACCATCATAGGATTCCATATTGGGGGCCTTGAAGTCTTTAGGCCACGGGGCTGTGAGGATCTCGATAGCTAGCAGCAAGGTGCCGATCTAGCTGGCCTCCTTCTTGTGGCGTGGCATGGCGTGTGCGTTTACGACACCTCCTCCGGGACCCTACAGTCAAGCTGGTCACCTAGTCCCAATTGCTGTTGTGGCTCGGTTCTGTTCTTTCATCGATACTTGGTTCAAGTTTTGGTTGGCAGGCTTCTGATTCTAATTCGGTTCAACATTTAGATTATGCCCGACATTCTGGTTTTGTTGTTGTTGTTTGATAACTCTACATTTTGATGCCTTAAGGGCATCAATTCAGGGGTATTTTCGGCCTTATAATAGTCAAGATGTGCCATTTTCCCAGTTAAATGCAATGTTGTGGCTTTTAAGGGTCTATGTGCAAATTCTGGGGAAAATTGGGAAATTTTCATGGCTGAAATGCAGATTTTGGGAAACTGGTGTGAAATCTAACTGAAAGAGGGGGTGTTTTTGTGAAAAACTAAAAGCAGGAGTGTTTTTGTGAAAAACTGAAAGCAGGAGGCCGCCTCCTAGCTGCTAAACCTAGTCTGGCGCCCCTCCTACTGTATTAGCATACTACCCACGTATTAGAAAACTCTAGGGCTCTTTCTAACTCATTCTTTTCATCCTTAACAAACCCTATCTAACCCTAACTGCTAAATCCTCACCTTCCATCTCTTCTAATCTCCACCATCCATTCTAGGGCACTCTCTTTTTAGCATTCTAACCCTAGGAGCCATTAAATCTTAGCCTTACATAATATTGGGTGCCTTCTCCTTTTCTTCTCGGCCTTAGAATCATCCTAGAACCATCCTAACCCTTCATTCTAAACCCTAAGGCACCCATATTTTTGCTAAAACCCAACTGCCACCCCCCTCTTTCTCCCTAATTCTAGTTATATCCACCCTTCTCTATAAAAAGGACCCAGGGACCTTGTACAAGGGGTTGGTCAATTCACCCAGGTAATAAGGAAAGTTAATCTTGAGAAGTTCAAGGGTAGAGGAAGAGGAGGGTTCTTACTTGCAGTTCGCCAACACCACTACTGCCACTTCAGGATTTGAATCCCAACCATTTTTTCTTTAGTTTTAGAATTACTTTCTGTTCTTTAATTTCTAGTTTATTTTTCCTTCCTGCAAATTTTACTAGTATTAGATTTAATTTGTACTTTATTTCTTTTTTGCAGATCTGAAATTCGGCCAGGTAAGATGGAAGGCCTAGCTCAAGAAGTTCGAGGGTTAATGGCAAAATGCGAAGACTGCTACCTCTGATCGAATTGCAGATTTCTTCTTTTTAATTTCTATTGTTTATTTATTTTATTTTCAGCAATGTTCGAACTCCATTTTTATTTAATTCCAATTTAATTAATGAAAGTTTTGTGATTCTGCAATTTCCCTTTGCATTCTTTTACCCGGATTAAGGTTTGTAATAATTTTTCCCTTGCTTCTCTATGGATACGACCCATTCTCACCCCTTACTACGTTAGTAGTTGTTTAAGAAACAGTATAAATTATAAATGTTTAAATTGGTGTTCCGGAATGTTTAACGACGCACTTCTGGACACACCATTGTTGTTGCTGCATCCCTACTAGAGCGGAAAATCGCTCCTCCCATGTCCTCATTTGTAGGTTCATTCCACGGACGTACTGCACCAATTCATTGAACTGGCACACATCAATCCCAACAGGAACCACTGAGGGCTTGACTGGAGGGAGAGGCGCGTTCACTTGGTGCAGGAGAAAAACTAGGTTCAGTGTAACAGGAATGCCTGGTAGGGTCAGGGACACTATGGACTGATAGCTACAGAGGAGACCTCAGGATGTACTGCAGGCTGGTCTTGCCCTCTTGTGATTGAGTTGTTGTTGACGGGAGTGTTGCTAGAGGATGCCATTCAGAAAAATGAATATGAGAGCACGACTTTTGTACAACGTTCCCACAGACAGCATCAATTAATGATGCACAATCTAGCAACTCCCTACTGGAAGGTGACTCGGATGCCGAGCTAGTTGGTTCCCTGCTGGTAGGTGGCCCGGATGCCAAGTTGGTTGGTTCCCTACTGGAAGGTGGCTCGGTTTGCTCGAATGTTGAGCTGGCTAGTTTGTTGGGTCGACTTGCAAAGAAACATTATTAGAGTACCCGAGATGCTTTACCCAGAGTTGGCACTCCAATGCTTAAATTAGCGAACTGGAGATTTTGGAGAGAGCTAAAGTGCTAGATAACCAAAGTATGCGAGAGCTAAATCGCTCGTAGTTTTACTTAGGGAGAAGATGCCTTTATATAGGCGTAAGAAACCAAGGGCTCCCTATAATGGGTCAGAGATTCCTAGGGAACTACTCCCGCTAAGTTTGGAGGAGATCTCTCAGTCGGTTATGTGATCTACATAGAGGGATGAGGGTCCTTTCGATCAATTCTGATGTGGATAGATGGGCTTAACGGCCAGGCGTCGTGATCCCAAAGAAGTTGAAAACAATAACCTACTTAGGGAAGAGGTCAGTGAGCACGTCTCATAGGTCGCCACACCTTAGTCAGGTCAGCAATGCCTCGAGGAGGTCGCTCCTCATGCCAAGGTCCCTTGGACCAGTAATGACGAGGTACTATAGGTCGGCCATGGACAAGGTGCTGCTAGCGGCTTTGCCGAGATGATCTGCTTACATAGTGCTGAGATGTCACCCAATGTTCTGCAATGCCACATGCCATAATGTCATTTGGAGGACCAAATTATCCCTCAACAGGTAGTAGATTCGAACCCGCATTGCATTTCCCTATCTAAAAGAAATTGATACATAAAGGTAAACGAGTAAAGCTAGCCTATGATATACGACCATCTAAGCGTGACTCTTTTATTAGGCCAAATGACTCTTAGCCCCACTTGACAAAAGGAAAACTCCATAACACATTAAAACCCAGCTGTTGAGACCCAGCAGCAAAATTAAAATGCCAAAGAAACCCCCCACTCGGCAGACGTGATATACGTCTAACACTCCTTCCATTGTTTTGACGAAAATACCCATTCTGTAATCTCCTATTCATTCATATTATTAATTTGGGTCCTACATAGGAGGCTTTTCATTTGTCCTCTAAAAAAACCATAACCATAATTTCCGTATAATATCAAAACAACCTTCCTCTCTCAACGTTTTAGAATTCCAACCGTTTAACTTTCATAAACAAAATTGACTCTTAATTTTCGGAGAGATAACTGGATTTCTATCCACGTGTCATAACCAACAATACGCCCTTTGAAATTGGCTACTAAAATAAGAAAATTTAAATTTTCATAATACTAATTTCATAAGAAAGTATTACCGAGACTACATGTAAGATTGTAATTGGATTGGATTCGGATCAAATTTAGCAAAATCTAAATCCGATCCGATTATTGAAAATTTATATCCGAATCCTATCCAAAATTTGATTGGATTTGAAGATTTTGGATTCGAATATGAATCCAAACGGACTCAGATTAGATTTGGATTTAATGTACTTTAATCTTTTAAAATAAAAAAAATTGAAAAAGTCAATTACTTTTTAACTTTAATATAAATATGACGTATTGAATTTATTATATATAAATTCATATATAATATAATATAGAAAATATATATTTTATAATTTTGAATATAATTATATTAAATTGATATATTAAAATAAATAAATATTATAATAAAGCCAACTTCAGATTTTAATCAGATCGGATGGAGTCAAACTCGAATCCGATCTAATTATTAATCGGATGTAGATTCCAAAATCCAAATCAGATTCAATTACATAAATACATAATTCGAATAAGAGATAATCGGATTGGACCTCGGATTTTTTGGTATAATTGATAGGCCTAACTACATGTGATTGGTTTTCATAAGACCAATTCCATACTAAAACATTATCGAGAGTTTGGTGTTCACAAAACTGCTTATACTTAATCTTCTAAAAACAATTAGTAAATTTTTATGCATTACTATAACTTGGGTAAAGGTGCCACAGTATTTAAAAATCCAATTTCAAATTTGAGAGTCAACATAATCGGTTGAATTCAAATAATTCAAATATCACAACCGGTCAAATTCAGATATTCTATACATACCATTTACGTAATCAAATCGAATCCGGGTATGATGATATATGAAATACTTATAACTGGTCAAATTCATTTTGATAAATATCCAAATTTGTCTGTTTATTTAATTCTTATATATAATATATGAAATACTTAAAACATTTTATATAATTTATATAATAATAATTAAATTATACAAATAATTATATATTTATATACTTTATATAAATACAATATTTATTGTATATATTTATTAATTACCTAAAATAATTAATCGATCAAATTTGAATTTAAACATTGATTTTCGATATTGAATTGAATTTGAAATGGTCCTAACACCTCGACACTCCATTTGACATAAATCTATTTATAGGGGTTGATGTGGAAATCTATTTAGTATATGGCAAAAATGTTCGTGACTCCTTGACACTCCATTTGATAGATCATGGAATTGGATGGTCTTGACACCTCAACACGCCATGAAATGTTTCATGAATGGTGTAACTCGTCTTGAGACCTAAACAGACTAGGGAAGGCT